GACAAATAATCACCAAGGACAAAATCATCATTTCACACCTACGGTACGAATAATTCGGGACGGGCTGTCACAATTTTGGTGTTTGATCATTTATATAAAAAAACGTATCAAATTTCACTAGATTATGTGACTCATATTCACTTTCTTTGGAATTGTACATCTAAAAAAGGGTTTTAAGATTCAATGTATACATTTCCACAAACTTGATTTTCTATTTTTATAAATAAAATAAAAAATAGGGAATCATTATTGGCATTTCAAAAATCTCATTTTGCACTCCAAACTTTCTATAATTAGTAAGAAAATTTTACTTATGAGGAGTGTAGAATGAGATTTTTGGAGTATTACCAAAAAATAAATAAAAAAAATTTCAAAAAACAATGAATCTTTATTCCTCTTCACTTAGAAGTGAGAGGTCTTAGGTTTGAATCTTATAGATGGCGAATTTGATACCAAATTAGGCTGCCCATTATGTGTCTTTGACGAACTCTCATTCCCTTAATGTAAAAATATTGATATACTAAAAAAAAAATTAAAAATTTTAACAACAAAACATCCCAAAACATTTAACAAATATCTATCTAATACAAGATACTGATTCAAGCTCGTTGTAGGAAAATAAAATAAATAATTATAGGGTGAAAATTGAAATAAAAAAAATAAAAATAAAAAGAGGTATTCCACAAAAGGTTGGATATCTCCTGAAAATGGAAATCCAGGTCAGACCAACCACGTGTCGGATACCAAATGAACGGTCCAGATCATCCACCTCAACTCATCCGACGCCCGCAAAGCCGTCGGTGCGCACTCAACACTTATCGGCAAACAACGGTTCACATTCGTCCACGTGACCACCGGATAGGCGTTATTAACTCCATGATCCAACGGACCCAACTCACTCGCTCCCAAACCCAGCCCCCTCTCTCGTCGAAATTTCTCATATTCCAAAGCTCCGATTTTACAAATTTCCAAATTTTTTGGAATCTGTCTTTTTTCTTCAAGTTCTCCAAACAAAAATATATCCAATTTGTTCAAAAATCCAAGCTCCAATTGCAATTTCTGGAAATTTCAGCTCGAAATTTTCATTTCTTTAGCGATTTTGATCGGGGACTACAGTATGTGAAGTCAACTTTGTATCATTTTTGTACCGATATTACTACAAGAAGCTTGAAAATTGTCATCAATGGCGGACTCAGACAACGACTCGGGAGGAGCGCACGGGAAGAGCGAGCTCTCGCCGCGGGAACAGGACCGGTTGCTGCCGATAGCGAACGTGAGCCGGATCATGAAAAAGGCGCTGCCGGCGAACGCGAAGATCTCGAAGGACGCGAAGGAGACGGTGCAGGAATGCGTGTCAGAGTTCATAAGCTTCATTACCGGGGAGGCCTCCGACAAGTGTCAGAGGGAGAAGAGGAAGACGATCAACGGCGACGATTTGCTCTGGGCGATGACGACGTTAGGGTTCGAGGAGTACGTGGAGCCTCTGAAGGTTTACTTGCAGAGGTTTAGGGAGATGGAAGGGGAGAAGAGCAGCGTGGCGGCGCGTGACAAGGACGGGAGCGGTGGCGGAATCGGTGGGGTTGGGTATGAGGGGGGTGGTGGTAGTGGTGGGAGTAGTGGTGGAGCTGGGGTATATTGGCAGCAGCAGCAACAACAGCAGCAGCAGCATCAGGGACACGTGTACGGAGGGAGTGGGTTCCATCAGATGGGTGTGAGTGGAGTTGGAATGGGGAAGAGTGGGCCTGGATCCAGCATGGGTAGGCCCAGATGATTATAATCTGCTGCTGCTCTTGGTGGCTATTTGCTTTAGGGATGTTTTTGTAATTTGATTGCTAATTATTTTGCTTAAAAGTGTTTTAATTTAAGGACAGTCACAGTGTATGTTTATGTAAACTCCTACTTGTTATTCATACCGCTTTTTGGAGAAGTGTTTTACTTTTACTTGTCACTAAAATTAGTTTGTAATTTTGGATTATTAATTGAAAGAGAGAAACCATTCTCACCGTGAGTACCGAGTTTTATGTAGATGTATATTTAATTAAGTTGGCTCGAGTTGTATGATATTTTGGTCGAGAAAATTTTCACTCAGATCAAACATTTCTCATTCTAAACCCAACTTATTTTATTTTATTTTGAAATCCCTGTTTTACCCCCATATACTAAATGGGTTTAGAAAGAAAAAGCAAAACACAACCTATATTAGTGAAAATACCTCTCCATTCACACCCCCCACGAAAACAACCCCTCTCCAATCACCGACCGAAACTCTTTGTCATTCCTATTGAATGATTTAGACTCATTGACTTTCATCAACCTCAAATTAGTTCATCACTCTCAACCTCAAATTTTGTGAAAAGGGAGAATGAAGAACTAGGATTTTGCACACATGCTCATTGATTGAGATTAAACAAATTGGCTCAATTAGATGATATCCCTTAATTGATTTATCATTATGGTGTTGAAGTATTGCTTCCATATTATAGTGCCGTGTATTTAAAAATCCGCCTCGAGATGCACCTAGGCAGTTTCAGAGGCAGGGCGACCATGAAATTGCATCTCCCAGCAGGATTAGGCAAAAACTCGCCTAGGTGTGGTTGAGGTGCTCATAGGCGGCTGAGGCGGGCCTCGAGGCGTTCGAATGGCGTCCTTTTTCTTTCTTAAGTTGCAGAATCTAGAATTTTTTTAGTTGCAGAGTTGGGGCACCCAGGGAAGAAGATGAAGTTGCAGAGCTGGGGTGCCTAGTGAAGAAGATGAAGAAGATTAGAGGGTTTTTTCTTCCTGACTTTTCTTTCTTTTTCTTTTATTTTTATGCTTTTTTTCTCTTTTAAAATTTAAAGTGACCCCACCTTACTGACATTTATTACCCCACTATCTTTTTTTCCGTTCACTTATCTGATTTTAAATTTCAAAGACAAGATAGATAGATAAGCATATTTTTATTTTTGTTAATGTTTTTATTCTTTTTTAAGATAAATAAGCATCTTTGTAAGTGTCCATTTATTACAGTGGTGGAGAGGTGTTTAGCCCTTGCATGACAACGCGAACCTCGACCATGGCTAATTTAACATTTAACATAACAAAGTTTATCGTTTGACTAAAAACAAAAAAAAAACAAAAAAAAAAAGATAAGCATCTTTTCCTAGATATTCTCATAACAACCTAGTAGAAAAATTAAAGGCCCTTTACACTATGTTTGGATGAGGAAAATAAACATAGAATTTTGGTAAAAGTTAGAATTTATAAATTGACAGACACCAATTCTCTTGTTTGGATTCATAAACATAGAAATTTAGAATTTCCGCGTGGAAAAAAAACTTGGAATTTGGAACCTCCAAATCCCAAGTTCAAATTCCATGTAAATAGGTGTCATTTCTCAATTTTTATGATTGACAGTTTAAAAATAACAAATTACGTATTCAATTCCATTGTTCTTTTAGGTTAACCAAACAAGAAAATTTACAAATTCTAGAAAATAAAATCTCGTCATTTTTAAATTCCTTAATAATTTTAAATCTCTTCACCCAAACATAGTGTTATGGTTTTTTAACGTTATATTTTTCTTTTTCTCAAAAGATATATTATATTATTCTTATTTCTCTTTTCTAAGACTACATATTACACCGTCACTCACTATTACGGTCTGGTAATATTCTTCTTCGTTTAGAAGTGAGAGGTTTTAGGTTCGAATCTTGTGAATGACGAATTTGAGACTAGGTTGCTCATTGTGGGGCTTAACCGAATTCTCCCTCCCCCTAGTGTAAAAATATCAATGTACTCAAAAAAAAAAAAAAAAAAAAAAGACTACATATCACACCAAAATATTACTCAAGGCTACATTTCACCCACACCTTTGCCTTTTAAAACATTATTATGGTGGGATGAGATTTGGTTCTTTGATTGTGGGTGGTAGGGAAGGTGCAAGGGGCGTGGCTGGGTGCTTGGTGAGGGGGCGAGCAACATTGGGTGTCTTTGGGTTTGGAGAGGTAGGGGTGGATGTTGGTGGTAACTTTGGCTGGGTTTCTTTTTCATTATCTTCTTTTTCTTAAAACAGAAATTTCAAAGTAATACAAATTATAAATTGGGTTTAGAAAAGAGAAATTTTGGGTCCAGATAAAATTTTCCTTTGACCTAAGGTTGAAACTCCCTCTTTGTAGTGTAGATGAATTTAGCGTACTTATCCTATCATTTATATGTGTGTGTGTAAACAAAATAATAATAACCCAAATTATTATAACTGGGTTACCCGCCTTGTCTAATTTCTGTTTGTGTTTGAAAGAAAAGGAAAAAAAATGATGATTTGGTTGACGATACAAGTCTTACAAGTCTTGATTGCCCACTTTGGTCTAATTGGGTTGAAGCTCATCTGCTCCCTCCCTTCCTTCCATGGGTTCAATCCCCTTGCCTTTGTACGTGGTTAGGATTGAAAACCCACCAAACGGAGGACTTTTCATGTCCTGTTCCAACTTCCCACCAAATAGGGGAGTTACATGACACAAGTTCACCGCCACAATGACATCTTGTGCAAATGAAATGAAGACACATAAAGATATCTTCTGTCCACAAGTATTTACTTCATTGACCCGGAACGCCACTTGGTGGTGAACCCATGTCATGTGAGTTGTTCACCAAACGAGCGGAATACCCACTCCTTTCACTAACCCCACTCATAATTTTCGAACGATAAGAGGGTCTATACTTGTACTAACTATCATGTTCATATTCAAGAGAGGAGGAAGGTAAGAGTAGAAGCGTATCAAAGAAGTGTAAAGGTACCTAAACCCTTCATATTCAGCCAAGATGGAGCATGCCAAATGATATTTGCGAGAAAATCCACCATAAGCAAAAGGAGCATTCAAGCTAATAATTCAACAAAACAGAACAAGCGAGTGATCGCTCGCTCGCTCGCTCCCTCCCTCCGTCCGGAGAAGAATCTGTATCCATGACAAAGTCCATGCAAACAGAAATTAAGATAAACTTTGAAGACGAGGGAGAGACATGTATGAAAATGAATGAATTCACTATGCACAAGATAACATACACCAGCTTTTCGTTATGTACACGATGCCGCCGACTATACAATTCTATTTCTAAAAGGTCTAAAAACAATTACTACAAATGAAGGGCAACAATTTGGCACAAACAACAGCATTGGAGGTACACACCCAAACCCAAAACCAAAAATGGGAAAAGATACAACCAGACCAAGGCATATTAGCAACATCGTCTGCTATGTCCTATTACAACAGTCAAATATTAGGTTACAAAATAATCTACCACATAGACTTGGGCAATTTCAAGCGATAACAATATCCACAAATCTCTTTCGATCAAGTGCTAATTAACTGAAAAACATAAACGCAAAAGGAAAGCTAAAACTAAAAGCAAAGTGTTCAGCTTCTAAGTCCAGGTAGTGACGGGGAAACGCCGTGCATTGTCTCTTCAGTGTAGATGTTCGAGGTCCTTCTTTATCTCCACGGAAACTCTGAGTTCTGCTTAACAGCTTCAATTCTCACGGTAGAGTGTCCTTCAAACTATTAGACAGTGAAACAGGTGAGAGTAAATATCTACAATTACCAAGCCAGCAGTAAACTTAATATACTCTACCATCAACACAGCACTAAAATCAAGTGATAAAGGGTCCAGTTCTTGTATGGAGATTGTAGTATACACTCAAAACCAACGCATAAATAAGTTTAGCAAAAAGCAGCCACATCCTCAAAATCCTAGGATGCCCCCCAGGCAGCTCAATCACAACAGCAAGGGAACTATTAGGTCCTATAGATTGGTTGGCCATACTAATCATCTACAAACTGCACCGACAATAAATGACAGATTGGTGACATGGCTGCTGAAGGAAAGGCAATATAGAACAGCCAGGTAACGACACCTCTAGTTAATCTAAAAATATTATGACAACATCATCCATCGAACCCTGTCCAAGTATGATTCCGGGTCACTGTTATCTGTTTGATTGTTTTATTTTTACTTTTGATCACCAGCGTGTTCAAATATGCTAAGCAGCCTTCAAATTTGGAAAGTCATTTGATAGGTCAAGGTCATCAGCGATTACCATCGCAACGGATACTATAATTATATTAGACAACTAAATAAAAACCATGGATACCTTTACATTTAGAGTACTGTCCGCTAGCCAGATAAAGCCATTAATCAAGTGGAATCATGTCTAAATGCAATCCTAATTTATAGTCAAACAAAGGAGACACCAAACTGTATTATACCCGTATATGCAGAATTTCAAATGTGGTCATTGTGCGTTCAATTCGACCACACAGCGAAGTCAACAGATAAACGACAATGAGGGGCTTCCATGTCATACAAATACCATGGTTTGAAAAAGCACAAATTTATGGAACAATACATAATCAAAGGTTGAGAGCTTGGTGTAGAGCTGTAGCATTTAGATTCTAATTGTAAAGAGTACCTCAAGGCATCATGTTAAGCCCAAATGATAAACATCGCAATAAAAATAAAATTGGAAACACTAAAAATTGCTAGTAAGAGACTGTAATTTGTGAATACTACAGATCTACGAATTTAGGAAAAAGAAAACTGACTAAACAACAGTAACAAGTAATCAGAACAAGGACATAAAAACCTCCCAGAACAAATAAAATAAGCACCAAAATATGAGTACAAACAACACACAAAAATAAAACCAGAATAAAAGAGTGATCATGTATGATAAAAGCACAACATAAGTATGGCACATCCAAAACAGACAAAAGAACAATTTTCTAAGTAACAAACACCAATGAAAATTAAAGCCTTACCTTTTTTCCACTTGAGAATTAACTCTGCTCCTGTTAGACAGAAGCAATAAAGAAATCTACGCAATGAGGTGAGAGGAGCCATTGGATGAATCAAGGACCAAAAACACCACTTGAAAGAAAGTCCAAATAAGCACGGCAAACCAAAAGCCACCAGAAGTTTTTCTACTCTATTGCATTTCTTTCTCAATGGAAAGTAACCACAAATAAGAAGCAGAGCAGTTACTCGGAAGTAAGCCGCCTTCTCTTCCCATAGTCAGCATCCCTTGATCTTGACCGACGGTCATCTTCTTGAGATACACGTGCCTTACTGTGCCTCGATGACCGTCCCTGTTCCCATTCATCATCATGGTCCTGTTCACGGTCTCTATACTTATGATGATCAGCGTATCTGTCTCTGTCTTCCCTGTACCTGTCACGGTCCCGTTCTCGTTCACGATCTCTATCACGGTCACGATCACGATCTCGAGAACGTTCTCGGCCCCTATCACGATTTCTGTCCCGTTCTCGACTAACATCAACATCATCACGATACCTTCTTTCAGATAAGTCATGGTCATGAGCCACCTCTTTCTCTCTAGGCACATCTCTCTCATATCCCTGATCTCTATCATCCCGATACCTTCTATCAGAAGATCCAGACCAGTCCCTCTCTGAACCTCTATCTTTCTCCTTCATGGCATTTGGCCATGCACCTCCTCTATCATGACTAACCTCACCATATTGATGGTCAGAAGCAGCTTCCTCACCATAACTAGACTCCCCAACTCTGCCACCACCATGCTCTTCACCAGCCCATCCACCCATATTAGGATCGGACCACATCCCCATATTAGGCCCATCAACACCTGATGTGGGCATCATTCCCATTCCATTCATGGGCATTCCTCTTCCAAAAAATGCAGGATTCACATGAGGGGCTACTCCAGGTAGCCCAACACCCCCAGGTGGAAATGAAGACAAAATTCCTGAGAAAGGAGGCGTAGGAGCACCAGGAAAGCCTCCATAATTTCCCATTCTCCCCATTGGAGCACCAAAAGCAGGATCAAAACCCTGACCCATCATTGACTGAGGGTGCATCATAGGAGGGGTTGCACCAATACCTTGCCCAAACCCATTTCCACCATTACTCATTATACCCCTTCCAATCACACCCCTATTCCTTGGACCAACTGGTCCTCTATTTCCCATACCCTGAGAATTACCCCTCCCCCAGTTACCTCTCCCATAACCTCTATTACTCTCCCCGCCTTGATAATTCCCACCAGTCGCAATGTTACTCCCACCAGTTTTATTCCCAGCTTCGTTGGGCCCCCTCCTCCCACCAGTTTGAGGTACTGCAGTTTGGGCAACCTGCTGGTTCCTATTTACTTGAGCCTCCCCCATTCTCTTAACACTGAATGGTGATGCGAACGCAACAACGCATGGCCGCCCATTAAACACATGCCCGTGCATCCCTTCCTTGCAGGCCGTGGCAGAATTAGGATTAAAAAACTCAACTTGACAGTACCCTTTTGACTTCCCACTTGCTTTCTCGTCGAAAAACTTCACTTCCTTCACAGGTCCATACTTACACAACTCTGCCTCCAGCTCTGCATCCGTAGTCCACCAATGCAAATCACCCACAAACAATATTGTCCCAGCTCCACCACCAGCGGCACCACCAAATCCTCCTCCCGGACCACTATTCCCACCAATCCCATTCATATTACCACTTCCAACACCACCAGCTTGTCTCAACATGCCCTCATTCCCCATATTCCCAACAGCAGCAGCACCATGTAATTGTTGCTGTTGTGGTGGAGGTTGTGGTTGGTGGTGTTGTTGCAATTGGGGCGGCAGCTGCTGAGAAACAATCCCTTGAACACCAACACCACTATTATTCCCACTTTGTTGCTCAAACTCATTCACCTTATTTGATGCTTGCCCTAATTCAACCCTAATCCCACCTCCTCCGCTGCCCCCAACGGGCCCCAACCCACCACTCCCCTTCGCACCCATCTCGTTCCCTCTAAACCCTAGATTCTGATTATTATACCCAGAACCCCTAACACCTCCATCACCCCCATCCCCACCAGTCCCCTCGCCGTTACCGCCCCCAACACCCGGTATCGGACCACCTTGAGATTCCGACGGCGCAACATCGGGTGACTCAACCTCAACCTTCTTCTCCTCCACCACCTCATTCCTAAACCCTAAATCCTCGTTCTTTCTCATAGACTGATAAAACCCCTCGCCGACATTGACGTCGTTGTAAAGGTCCTCATAATCATCGTCCTCCTCGGCCAAAAATCCATCGTCGGCCACCGCCGAGATCGCCTCGTTGCGGTGAAACTGATCCATCTGATCGACCCCGTCGCCTTCATCCATTGGTTTCTCGTATCTTTCGAAGGTCTAGGTTTTCTAAATCTATTGGTTTCGGGTGGGCAGTGAAAGTGTTTGCAGAAATAAAAAAGTAAGCATTTTTTTTTCTGGAACCAAAGACGGAGAAAATAAAAGGGGGAAAATTAGGGTTTCGAGATCTTACCGGCGAAGAGAGAGAGAGAGAGAAAGTGAGTCTTGAGAGTTGGGAGTCTTGAGAGTTGGAGAAAGAAAACCCTAATCTCTGCGACTTTCTGGAAACTTGTGAGAGAGAGAGAGAGAGAGAGAGAGAGAGAGAGAGAGAGAGTTTTGGTAATCTATCTAAATTTCAAAGTCTCTGCCCTCCATGTTTACGCCTCCGTGCGTAATGCTTAGAGCAACTACACCGTGGTGGATTGCTCGGGGGACAGGTCAGAGAAAAGGGCCCAAGGCCCTGTGGATTCGCTCCAGCGTGAAGGAGCCCGAATGAAGGTGGAGGCCCGAGCTCAGGGTATGTGAGGAATTGCCAGCCCGAGTAGATGTGATACTAAGGCTGACGTCAACCTAGTGTCAGACCTATTTTTTTTTTTTTTTCCTGTCAGGCGCGTGCACCCCACTCGCGGGTGGGGACGCATAGTCCGACATATTTTCAGAAAAGTCAACCCACTTTTCAGACTGAAATGTTACCGTTGAAAGCCATGTGGCTTCCCACGGTCCATTCGATCTCAACGGCTCTATAACTTGGACTGTTCGATCTCAACGGTAAAAAAAATAAAAAAATCCTATTTAATATCAACCTTTCGATCTGAGATCGACGGTTGATATTAATCTGCAATATAAATAAAAAAATAAAAGAAAAAATAGTTTTAAAATTAAGAAAAGTTACCGTTGTGACATGTGGCATAATCCGGAGTGTTGGAATTCAATTTTTTTTTATATCCAACGGCAGAGATTAATTAGTTGAATAAAAGTTTTAAAAATAAATGTACAAAATTCGAAAAAAAATATGAATTTTTTTAAAAAAAATTATTTTTACTTTTCTATAAATACATTCTCATTATTTTGTATTATTTAATAATACTTCAGATAATGACACGTGGCGCAACGAGAACGATTAAAAATCTTATCCAAAATTATAATTAAAATTATTTTGTATTATTTTATAAATTAAAAAAATATTAATATTTTATTGCCTATTGTCAGGGCTATTGAAGTGCAACGGTGGAGATGCAAAAGGCGATTACTGTTCATTAAGGGCAGTTATTGTTTACCAGGCGGATAGCATAGTGTATTGTCTAGGGGAGGTTTCACACGCTGGAGTTGCTCTTATGTTTTTTTTTTTACTTCTTTTGTTTTTTTTTTTTTTTTTCAATTTTATTCATCTTTTTTCAATTACGTGCGTGCTGTGCACTGTGACCAGGCCTCCTCTTTCCCTCTTTTAGGAGGGGTGCACTTTGGGTGGATAAACCCAAATCTGTTCATGTGTAATTTGATTTCAATTCAATCAAGAATGTTAGAATGAAGTAAAAATCTGTTCAAATCTAATATGTCCTTAGTCCGAATGTTTATTGGGTTGTGTTGGGTTTGCTCATGCATATATTACCCGTACATGTCAATTCCAAGCTCAATCCAATTTCTAGCTTGAATTGCTCATGCATATATTACCCATCCCACTTCATATTATATAAGCTAGATACAAGTTTGGGAGGGCTAGACTTGAAGTTTGTTGTATGACTTTTACTTGAACAATAACGATAGGGCTGCTTTTACGTTTCTTTTGGTTGAAATGGTGGTACTATCTTGCCATTTAATTTTAACTTTGCTTGGTTGAAATGAATTTCTAAATTTGAGATTTATCTTATAAAATAATGTGTTACAAGATTGACTTTGATAAAGTTAGGCGAACCTGAACCCGAATAAACCCATATGAACCAAATCTGAATTAGGAATGTTGGATTAGGATTGGGTTGACCATCTAACTCACCAAACTCGCCCGAGTTGTACCCCTATCTTTTATTCAGTCAAAAATAAAAAAAATTCAACATTTTTTAACTTTTAAGTTGTAATTGTTTTTCTTTCTGTTTTTTAATTTTCAATTTTAATTATCTTTTTTGTCAATATTTCTATTTTTCTGTTAAGTATAATCATATGAGACCATCTCCAATCCTTATGTTAAAACCTAAAATTTAGGTTTCAAACCCCCAAAACTTCCTCCTACGGTTGGGCCTAAGATTAGTATTGGGTTAAACATGAATATTTTTTTTTTTTTTTGTCAAATACTTACCAAGATTTAGGCCTGGGTTAGTGAGGCTAGCCCACAATGTGTGTGGATGCGCTGAGAAAGAAGGGAAGCGCAGCAAGGCGACGCGTCGAACTCAGGGGCCGCTAACAGTAAAAAAAGCCCCACCTTGACGAGGCTGTCGATGACAATAAACAAGCGAAACAACTCTTTTTTCTATCAAACGATTTGTATTATTGGACCAATGGCCAACGGTCCAAATTCAAACTTATTTAATTTTTAATTTATAAATACATTATATCTAACGGCTGAGATCGAATATGATCAAATTTAATGGTTAAAAAAAAATCTTACGGCCCAAAGTTAAATCCAACGACTACAGGGTCGGTTTTGTAATTTTACATTATTTATCGGAATCTAAATACAAGTTTGAGAGGGGTATACTTGAAGTTTGTTGCTTGGCTTTTATTTGAACAATAACGATAGTGTTGCTTTTGCGTTTCTTTTGGTTGAAATGATGGTATTGTCTTGTCATTTAATTTCAACTTTGCTTGGTTGAAACTTTAGAAATTCGTTTTACTTTATTTAGTTTATTTTTGTATGGATGGTGACAAGACCGGCCTTTAGAATTTGGGGTCCTAAGCGAGCCTTCGAAGTAGGGCCCTAAAGTTCTTTGACCCCCGGTTCTTTGTACATGCATAAAAAAATAATTCATTAAATACATAAAAAATTATATTTCTACATCAAATATCATTTAAAAATTAATATCAAAAGGATCTAGATATACAAACATTACTCAAATATTACACGTCTCATGTTTTTAGACGCAAATGTACTAAATGTTTGCAATCAAGAGTCTAAAATTGACAGTGAAGAACAATAAAACTTGATGATCAAAAGAGTAAAGAACAATCAAACTTGATTGATGAGTATAATAAATTCAAGGCCAATTGTTTCTTTTGTGTTTTTTCTAAAATCAACATCACACTAACGAATCGAATATTAAAATAATCTATTAAATAATAAATTATCGAAAAGCAAAATATAAATTCAAAGTTTTGATTACCTTAAAGTACAATCTTCAAGACTGTGACAACCCATCCTTAAATTTACGATTATATTAATTTTAAAAGAGTGAATTGACAAAAATGCATCTAGAGGCAAGGATTGACTTCCGTTTACCATCATTTAGAGAGACGTATGACTCATTCTTTTAGCGTATTTGTGTAGTACGTGACGATACCAATGCTTGGGCATAAACGGAATAGAATTTGAAGCTACAATGGAGATTTTATGAATTTACGAATGTGAAGAGCGATTTTGTAATTTCATGTTTAAAGATATTTTGTGGCTTGTTTTGTGAGCCACATGGGGCCCACACCCCACTCTTGCCCTGTCCTGTATCCCCTCTTTCCAGAAACCTTGGTTTCTCTCTTTCTCTTTACTCACCCAATCTCTTGTTGCCACCTCACCTCCCTTCACCACTCAACACACTCTCTATTCATTCATCTCCCACAGCTTTCTCTCTAAAACTCTGGACTCTCTTTCATTCTTGGCAACCCGAGACCCCTACACACCTTATTGTTCCAGCGAGCTCCATCACCCCAGTCGTACCACAACACCATCTTCCTCACTTTATACCTAGAATCGACGACTAGTTTACAAACCTCGATAGTGGCAGAGGCTACTGTACCTTTCTCCTTCAAGGACCTCCGACGATTTGTGGACTTTTCCGACCTCGGTAAAGACTCGCACTCTTCCATTTTTTCTTAGTTTTCAGTTTCTAGCTCGATCCCAAGCTTACTCGCAAGTTTTGGGTAGCTTTTACACAGAAATCAACTTGGGGAAAATACTCCTTAGTTTCCGGTGAGGAACTCGAGATTTTGCAAGATTTCTCCGGCCAACTCCGACCACGACTCCGTCCTTCATTGGTATATTTCAAACCCTTACTTCAATTCATTTTGATTTTTATTTCATTGCAAATGGTTGAGTTTTGAGCTCTAACAGAGCTCTAGTTCGCTGCCCAGATTCCGGCCGAATCTGGTGACCTGCAACCTGGTTGACCCGGCCCAATTTCAGAAGAAAAAAAAAGGCCCAAGTCCAAACCCAGATCTAAACCAGATCCGAACCAGCCAACCCGGACCCATTTAGGGATTTGGAAGGAAGAGTCCAAGGGAATATTCCATTAAATTTTCAGTTAACTTTAACAGAATATTCCATTTGAGGATAGAATATTCTATTAAAGTTAGTTGTTGACAGTTAGTTGTTGACAGTTAGTTGACTTTTTCGAAATTTTCTCAAAAACCCTCACAGGCCAATTTCAACACCCCAAGTCCATTTTTGGCATCTATTTAGTGAAATTCCAAAGTTCTAACATAATTGACTACCTCGGCAGCTCGGTTGACTTTTTAGGGTTGATCGTTGATTTTTCGTTGACTCTTTACAAAATTTGCCCGGGACCTTCCGTAGCGTATTTTGATGTCCTGATTCCAAATCCATCATTGGTTTCTTCAAATTTAATCGCTTCAGTAGAGTTTTACTAACGGGTCTCGATATTATGCTTAGGTGCGATTACTATCGGAGACTTCGACTTTCCTAGTTTGAACAGTTATGACCTCGTAAATATCTGTGAGTAGGTCTTTTATTTTATATAGTATACATATATTTATTTAGTTTCCATATATACTTAATAATGAATTTTCTACGTGATGCCATGATTAAATAATGTTTATAAGAAATGTCGTACTGTTGGGAAATTCTAAAATAATTCTACGGGATGCATAGGTAAGTTTACTATAAGGTGATGCCTTAATTAGATTTATGGACATGAATAGTATTATGTTGATTAGAATTATCGTTTATCATTGCATGATTATATATACGATATCTACTCATCGTGTGCTACACTGGTGTTTATACTCGCCCGGGCTAAGGCCAGTCTTTCACGTGTATGTTCACATCACACCATAAGCTCACTTTGGATCTATTGTAGGTGTCAGTCATGTCCTAGATTGCTATAGGCAATTAGGACTCGTATGTGACGTGATTGTATTAAAGCGTGAATAATTATTACACCCAGTCTTGTTCATGTTAGAATACCTTTGCATGAATTCGTGTGTCGGCATATGTCAATGAGCACTCAATGAGATATGTTTATTTCTGTGAGATATTGTGATTACTAGAAGTGATATGCCTATTTACAAATTTTGTGACGTATTGAATTCTTGAGATATTGCAAGTTACGGTAAGTATTTTCATACTATACACAGTATGTATATTTTGGAAACTATACTTGTTTTACGGCAAGGGGTTATAATGTTTTCAAAAAGGTTTATATAAAACTTTATTTTTACGCCCACTCACCCTTGTTTTTCGCCTCTCCAGGTTTTAATGTTAAGCTTTCGTGCCGACAAGAATTATGGGCAAATCTTGGTATATGTGGTTACCTTCAATGATATGATTCTCATCTTACCTTACTGTACTTTACTTATGCTCTGACATCACGTGTGAAATGGGTTCATTCCTGCTCACAAGCGCACTCTTATATTTGGGCACTTTCAGGTTTAAATTTATTCACATTCTCCACATCATTACACTTTATGGCTTCGTCACCCTTCTGATGTAGGCCAACACAGCTCGATTCGGAGTCTAGGTGGACAGTCCAAGTCGGGGTGTGTCAATTTGGTATCAGAGCATAAGTTTGGGTAGTATTGCCTTCATCACACACATGATGTAAGCATTCTTGGTTCTTGAACATAAGTGTCGAATCTTGCCACCTCGTCGAATACGAAAAATGTGTTAACTTTTCCTAAGTTTTGGGCATTTTATATGACTTATCGACATTCTAAAAGAACATTTCGGAGACCACATCTAAAAGAATTGGACTATAAGGCCCTTCAAACAAAAAACATCCAAAACTAACTGAAAATAAATAGCAGGGATAATTTTGTCATAAAAAAATTAAATTAACAAAACATTAGAAGCAGTTTTCTTCCCACTATCTTGCGAGAAGAATCCGCGTGATGGAAGCAAAAGAAACCGTCGTCGTCCCACACAAGGACCACACCCGGAGGAAAAGAACCACACCCGTTCTTCCCGGAGGAAAAGAATCAGTTTTCTTCCCGGAGATTATATTTTGGATGCAAAATTTGATGTTTTTGTGATATTGCTACCCAAAACAAGAAGTGATATTAGCAATTCTCTCTCCTCCACCTACTCCCCGTCGCCTTCAGTGCCATTCGAAGGTACCCAACTTTCCAATTTAAAAAACTAGGGTATTTTTCTGGGTTTTTTTTTCTTTTTTTCTGTCAGTTAGTTTGGGAATAGTGACTACCTTACTCAATGGGTGAGATTGTGTGTTTTAAAAGAGATTGGGCATCTACAGAGCCACGGAAAATCCCCAAGTCCAGTTTTGATTTTTCACTCTTTTCATTTTCTTTTTTCCTTGCAGATTCGTGAAAAGGATTGAGACTACAAAGTCGAATCTCTTCCGTAAGTTTTCGTTTTTTTTTTTTTTATGTTGGCTTTGTAGTTTGTCACTGATTTTGGTATTTTAGATTGCTTTTTGGCGACCACATTTAAAGTATATCTTGACAATTACAATGGGAAAAACTAACACAATACACCTTTAGGGGCGCGTAGCGCCCGTGATGCAAAAATGTCTCTCGCACGCACGTTAGTGCGTGCAGAGAGGCTAGTACTAATAATAAAAATTACAGCCAAAATATGGTACAAGCCCTTTCCTTTGTTGTTGTTAAAAGAAAATCAAAACCAATACCATTTAGTATTACGATTTAGTGATATTTTTTTCACTTGTAAGTGAAACATTTTAAATTTGATTATCGCCAAAGACAAATTTGAATCATATTATTACTAGCCTATTGTGAGATTTAGCATCTACCCCTTCCCTTAATGTATATAATATCGTTTGTTATAAAATAAACCAAAACCAATGGTTAAGGTGTTTTGTGAGTTTGTTGGACTATCCTATGATGACTTTATACAAAGAACCTTACTACCAAGGAAAATCCCGATTTGGAGACGAGTTTGTGGCCCTGAAGCAGGGCTATTGTGTCGGAAGACTTTACTCATCAATCCCACTATTATTATCTCGTCATCTTTACCAACCCTTTTGAGTTAAGAAACCAAGAATAGTTTTTAATTCCTTGGCAGTATCCGTTAGCATATCATCTATCAGAATTCCTACGAAGTTTACTTTCGTTGAGATTCCAGAAATGTCTTGAGTGACAACGTGGTGCTAAAATAGCGGCACTCGACAGAAGAGCATCTGGGGGACATTCACTTTTGGTTCCCGATAGCACTAATCTTCTCAAACGAGCTAGTTATAATTCTGGATCTTTAGGAGGAAGATTGAATCTCATTAAACCTATTCTGAAGTAGGTTATTAGCAAATTCCTTTTTCCGGCATTAGAATATTCCAAACAATACTAGTTTCCCGAATTTCTTTCAGCGATGTACTCGTCATTTCGATGAGCATAGGTACAGGTGTACGAGTTGTTATACCTGTGGTCAGTAGAAATCCCTGAAGTAGTAAGTATTTTCCCTAGAATTAATGAAACCACCTCACATGACCAGTTCCATACCAATCATCTGAAACCATCTACCCGAGCGGGCTCTAACTTGTAATCAGCCTAATATGGCGCTACTAATTGACGATACTATCCGATATCCAAGCACTGTCAACCAGTATTTAGGCGGTATGATTTCTAATACCGGACATAAGTACTTGTATCTGGGAGTGATACCCTTACGCCAGAACACCGGTTCACAATTTCAGGGTTATGAAACCCCACTCCTTATTTAATGTGAAATTTCATAATGTCCCAAGAAAATGATTAAAAAGTTCATTTTGGTCCCTAATTATTTACCCTTTTCAAATTTATAATTTTTAATTGTTCTTCCACTCTCTAGTTGCCACTTGGTAGCACCCTAACTCCCCCTGCTTTTCCCTTTTTCTCCTACCCTGTGACCTAGGGGTGGGCACGGGCCGAGCCAGGCCAAAATTTGAAGAGACCGGATCAGACCTTGGTTCAAATGAGACGGGTCGGGCGAGGTCGAGCATTTCAGTTTTCAATATAGGAACCGGACCTTACCCGGCCCGGTTGAAACTGGTCGGTTTGGGCAGGGTCCACGGGTCTTTGTTTTTTTTTTTTTTGGGTTAAAAAAAAAAAAGAAAAAAAAAAAAGCTAAAATTTGCACAGATTCTATCATTCAACCACTACAGCATTACCAACGTCCAAAATAACAACACATCCAAATTCCGAGAGTCCAAAATAACAATACATCGTCCAAAATAACAACACATCGTCCAAATTCATAGATTAAAGAAAGTTACCTAGAAGAGTCTTTTTGAAGCCAATCCGCTCCCCAAGCAAGCAACTCTCTAACACAATCTAAGGATCCACCACAAGCAGCTAAGTGAAGCTGTGTACTTCCAGGGTAGCTGCACATATATGGTACTACAATCAATCTGACTGTCAAAGTATTACTATAAATCTATAACAAGAGTAATAATTAATATAGATAATTACCCATATCCACCAGCTGAAGCACAAACAAGAGCCCCATTGTCTAAAAAAACATGAACGCACTATGGCCGTCTTTGGCGGGTAACTATATGCAATGGGGTTGCACCACCTCCATCTCTTATGTTCACAAATCTCGCAAATCCCCTGTCAATGCCATTCAATGTAGCGTAAACATCACAAAACAAGCAAGCACTTCAACATAAAACAAACGACCAAATTAAGACAAATAAGTACAACAAAAATGGAGGTAAGAGCTGTAGCAAAACAAAACGAGGGAAGGGACATCTCAAAAAGACAAACACAACAAAAACTAAAGAAATCAATCACAAACCATTTACGATATAGACAAATGATTGCAATCAACAATCCCTACAAACTGTTTAAGTACAACAGCAAACTGGATTAAGGAGGTTGTACAGATAACTTAAAAATAAAGAAGAACCAAATTGTTTTGGGTTCGAAGAAGTATTTAATCCGTTATGTGTCATAATTTCCCATTCACCTAACAAAACCCTATTAGTAGTCTAACAACTCTTGAAGGCTTGAAGCATACATTGTATAATTAAGGATGAGAGGTATTTACTGTAGCAATTGGAATCAAACATTCACAAAGATCAAAGCGCAGGGAGGGACTACTTGAATCAAAGATGATCAAGTAAGATCTCCATGAAATCAAAGAATACAAGCCTTTACTTGAAATCAATTTACAGTTTATCGACATTTTGTAAACAGAGGTTGGCAATTGAATTTTATAATTAAGGAATTAAAGAGGAAAAGGAAGTAAGTAAAAACTAGAAAAGAAAAAAAAAACCCAAATCTGAAAAACGCAGTAAACACTCAAATTTAAATCTCGATCCCAATCCCAATCCTAATCCCAAATTCCAATCAATAACCAAATCCCAACACAAATCCCAAATCCCAAATCCCAAATCCCAAATCCCACTCCCATCCAAACATATCCTCAATTCCTTCATCCAAATGTTTATGCATTCATCAAATTACTCTCACCTAAAGATTTAGTCTATAATCAAATCCTATTATTTATGCTACAATTGCTAGTGCTACTGATCCTTCGCATCAACAAAAATAAAATTCGGAGAAGTAGACTTACGGTAGCCGGCGAAGTAACTGATGTTGTCGAGGTCGGATGATGGCTGGATGGGTGGTGGTGGTGCCGTTGTGTTGGTCGCAGCGGCAGTGATGAGCGTTCTTTAGGATGTCGTCGGAGTCAAGTCGAGGGAGTCGAGGGATGTTGGAGAGGTAGGAGTGAGAGAGTGAGACTGAAAGTCTGAAACTGCTTCTGGAACCTAGGTTAGAAATTAACGGTTCAGATTGCGTGATAGGTAATCATTTAATCTCGACCGTTGATTATAATTAGAAACGGGTTGGTTCGGGGCCCCGTTTTTCTAAGGTTTAGGAACCGGCCCGCCCCGTAAATAAAAATGGCCCGGCCCGGCCCGTTTGATCCCAAAAAAAATAAAACCTGCCCCGAACCTACACTACCCACCCCGATCCGCGGTTCTTCTACCCGTTTGCCCACCCTTACCGTGACCTTATCTTTCTCTCTACAATCACTCTCATCTCACTCTAGTCTCACTCACTTTTTATCCCTTTCTCCTTCCCGTGAGCGATCCACTCACTTCCCGATGCTCACATAATCATCATCACCATTTCCAGTACTCTCTTTTTCTCTTGTCGTTGCGAGGTTTGATGGAGCCCAGGAACCCCGGCACACGCGAAACCACCCCAACCCATTTTATGTTCACCACCGGCCGTTCTATGGTGAACCCAAGGTATAAACTCGCTCCCCTCACTTTACCCTATGTTTTTATACTTAGATCAGGGCTCAGGACCCATGTTTGCAGTTGGTTGGAGCTGGGAAAGCTCCAGCATGCACCTCCGTCAGGACTAGGGGTAGTTCGGTATGGGATCCCATATTGAAACCCTTGTTTTGATTCCCAAACTGAAATTTTCGGGAATCCCATTTTCAATACCGATCCCGAACCAAGTTTTTGGGAATCTCGAAATAGTTTCGGGATTTAGGGACAAAACGGGAATCCTGAAATGGTTTTGGGCTTTTGGACTAAAATTTGACATATTATGCTTTTGAGCTAAAATTCAACCTTTTATATTGAAAATTTGACATATAGCCAGGCTGCCAATCTACCAATTTGTGCACAATAACATCTGCCTATTCAATTTCTATTATGTGAAAGTATACATTTCACATGTATACATATGTAGCCATCCAATAGTTTAAAATTAAAGAGTCATATGGTATGAGAAACAAAAACAGAATTACAAAACTTGATTTTCTATCAAACATCAAAGCAAGACCATGTATCTAAGACTCTATAGCCAAAACAAAAATACGAAAATCCGATTCTCGTAAAATTTCTTAGTGGTCAAGTAACAAAAAGAATTGGTAGCTTTACCTGTAGCTGCACTATTCGTATGCTTCCTTGATATCAAGTTTGGCACAAACCTACCAAGTCCAGCGGAAAGTACCTAATTGACACACAGACCAACTTAAATCTTGATCACATCAATAATAAGAAATCACACTTTTGCAATATCTGAACCTTTTAGTTACAACACCATGGAAACAAATTGCATATTAGAACTGCATAAAGAGAGTGATGGCTTTCTAAATCCAATATGACATTGGGATTTGGCAAAGTACTCATCCACATTCTCTTTTCTAAATCCAAATCCTTTGATATAAAAGAACACATAGATTTTGTCTCGAAAGAGTTATATGAGATCAAATGTGAAGATGCTAGCATCCAAGAAAGTCAAAATAGCGCAGTGTGTTTAAAAATTAGGAATATAACTAGAGAATTGAAGTAAATCTATATAAGAAAAGCTTAATTAGTTCTTCTACGAGAAACAATAAAGTGGGAACTTACTTGAGGCAAATCATCTTTTCTTGGTTGTGTGCTAATGGCATGAGAGACGACACAATAATCCCACCATGAAGCCTCATAACCAAATGCAAAGTTGATTATGAGAAAAATCAAATCAAAATAAACTTTCAACCAACAAAACATAAATAAACAACAAGCACCGATGCGCAAGTATAAACACACCAAAAAAAAAAAATTGCCTACAGCATGAATAAATTAGGCCAATAGTGACCGGCCTCGAGCCCTTCAACTATCACTACTGTCAATTGGGCACTAAATTAATTACCTAATTTTGGGTGAGAGTGAGATTCGAACTCGGTGCTGGATCGAGAGTTCTGTATGTGAGAGAAAATCACCCAAGAGAGAGATTGCGAGAAAGAGCGGTGGCTTGGCGGTGGTTGGGTGGTGATTCGTGAAGGAAGGCTGGAGAGTCAGAGACGATTCGAAGGAAGGCTAGCATGAAGGAAGGTTGTGTGGTGAAGGAAGGCTGGCGGTGGCTGCGCTTCAAGTTCGATGGAATCAATGGAATGGAAGTGAAATGGGAGATCCGACCTAAAAACAAATGAACGGCATAGATTAAACCCAAAACAATGAACGGTTTGAAATAATTATCTTATAATTAAAAAGTAATATATGTATATATAATATTTAATTTTGGTTCAATATGGGAATACCGAAAAAATGAAGATACAAAACCGAATCCCATACCGAAAATTTAAGGAATTTTGGTTTGGGATCGGGATTTTTTCGGTTTGGTTTGGGATTTTTTTTTCAGCCCTAGTCAGGATAGGCCTTTCAGGCCATCTTGAAAACTATCGGGCCTTAGGCCTGTTCAAACCCAAAACCCCTTTTATTTCCTTTTTGTTTTATTTTTAATTGTTTTAAGTTAATGGCCCTTTGGGCCGTTTATGTTGAAGCCCCAAAGACCTAAGCCTTTAAAGGCTTAAGGCCTTCAGGCTATCTCTCTCTCTCTCTCCTTAGGCCCTTGGCCTTGGGGCCAGGCTTTAAGCCCATTTCCTTAAAACCCTAAACCCTTAAGGACCCAACCCAATTGCCTAAACCCTAAGCCCATTTAACCCTAACCCAAAACCCTAAACCAGGTTTAACTATTTGACCCAGGTTGACCCAACCCATTGACTTTGATCGTTGACCCGTCAATGTTGACTTTGACCGTCAACGTTGACCGTTGACTTTTTTGGGGTTTTCGTTCGAGACCCTCCTAAGCTAATTTCGACTTCCTGGACCTGTTTTTGAAGTCTGTTTTCCCAAATTCAATCGTTTGAGTATAATTTTAATAATTGTACTTTTTATGTGCTTAGGTGCAATTAATAGCAGCGTTTCCGTTATTCCTATTCGGTACGGCTTTGCACCAACGGTGTATGGTGAGTGGACCCCTTCTAAAATGCATGTTTTAATAGTAGAAATGCATACATAAAAAACATGATTTACTAAATACGTTTTGTGAACGTTTTATGAGAAATTGATTATCGTGTTATACTGAGCTTATTTTGGAATATCATATTTTTTTCTATCAAAACCATGTTCTTGTAGGGTATTTGATTATATTCAATGGTTTTGTCCATAGCTAGTTGTCATTGTATATGCCTTCGGGTGGGTGTAGGTTGGAGCCTTCGAACGATTATGATACCACTAGTTAGCACACTATATACGAGATATGTTTTATGAAAGGTTTTCGGAAAAACCTGTTACATATGATACTAGTAGTTTTCAAAAGACCTGGGGGTTAGTATGTTGATAACTGTTTTATTATATATATATATATATATATATCAACTTGCTCCATTCATGTTTGTTTTGCGCTCCCTTCAGGATTTAGGAACGAGGATTGGGACCTGAGCTACGAGGCATTTCCCTATTAGTGACATTGTGCTATATTCTCTCTGCTATGGCATCTATTGTAATAGCACTTCTCTATCCTAATTTCCGCTTGTAATTTGTATTAGATGTATGCTCTAAACATGTCATGCACTATCATAATATTTAATTGTTGTCAGTTGCATATTGTTATTGTGTTTATATTTTTCTAAAATCATGATTAGTCGCATCCTAGAATCTAGTCACCATTTTGTGCATGTTTCACATGTTCTTGGCATTTACATTAATTGAATGACTTTCATCACCCTTCGGGTGTCGGCCAACACATAACCATCTTGATGTCCCCAGGACATCGGGATCAGAGCGTGTCAAGGGTAACGAACAATATCAAAATATCGTATGTGCGTTAATTAATAGCGCGACTGATAGGTTGATTAACAATGACTATCTGAGCTGAAGAAATTAAATCGTGGAAACTTAGGAGAAAGTTTTGTATTAGGACAGTAAACTCATAGTTGTTTTAACCTTATCACCTCTGGGTAAACAAAACCTCTTCAACTAGCCACCTATCCTATCACTTCCACAGACAAACATTAAAATTGACGCAAGAGTTAATTTCCCACATAAGAGCGAAATGACCATTGAGAAAATTGTGAAGACCTTTTAGTACATGGCTTTATAGAAAGGAAGTAGTATGGTACGTTTCGAGGACGAATATCTCTAGCAGCGTTTCTCAAAATTTTACTAAAATGGCAATTCTTATGTGGCATGATGTGGATTGCCGTCTAAACTTTCAGTTCACTTTCGATTTCCTCCTGAACTTTTTAATTGGAAAATTAAGGACTTAAATTAAATTTTTTTGGCCAATTTTCCCTTAGCTGTTAATTTTTTATTTATTCCATCCAAATTTTTGTTAAATGGAAGTATGTGTACAGCTTGTGAAGGTAGTTCAGTTACTTCATTCTTTAAAATAATTGAAAACCTATGCAAATTTGTGTGATTTTATAGCTTTTGTGTCTGAATGTCTAGGGAAGTGACGCTTTTGTCCTCTAAGGAGAGTCACATAGTGTGCACATGATAAGAGTTAACGTTAATTTAGATGAAATCTATAAAAAAAACTAACGGTAGGGAAATTGGCAAAAAAAATTAGTTTAAGTCCTTAATTTTTTAATTAAAAAGTTTAGAAGGGAAATCGAAAGTTAATTGAAAGTTTAGGAGGCAAATCGGTGGTCTACTCTTTATTACAATTATGAAAAGTAAATAATGTAAGAATAATAGTTTGAATTTGACATACTGAGTAGAGAACAAAACTTAAATTTTATGGTTAAAATTGAACATTTCCTGAGAGCATCTTTAAAGGTGATGTCAAAAATCCTAATGGATTATTTTGACAAAAAAAAGAAAAAAAAAAAAGAAGTGGTTTTCAGGTTCCAAGGGAGATGCCAAATCCACATGGATTGGAATTCTCTACTTTGCTGTCAAATTTGAAGGCAATGTCAAACATATTATTTTTGTTTTATTTTAATGTGAGGCCCACATAATTTTTTCTTCTTCACTTGTTGATTATTTTATTGTTAAATTCTGACCCACTTGATTTTATAAATAACCAAAAAGAATTTTAATTTGACATCTCGGTTGAAAAAAAAAAAAAAAAAAAAAGCTTATATGAAATGTTATTTTGCACATAAGTCATGAAAATAAAATTTAACATTTTAATTTGACACCTTATTTCAAATGATCTAAACTATTCGGGTTAATAGAGGATGTCACCCTACTTTGAGGGGTAACAAACAAAAAAAATTAAATGTCATATATTACATTTACAGCACCTATTGTTTACAAACTTACTCTACGAAATTTTCTACCCATCCACAATTAGGTATTTTTTGTTGCTCCAATCATCAATTAATAAAACTGTATTCAAATTCAAATTGTTACAATTACAAACAAACAAATACAATGTGTTGTATAGAACCTAAGAAAATCATATTTTTCCTTCGGTTTTTTTTTTTTTTTTTTTACTAGAAACAATAAGATTCGTTGAAGAAAATGCAATGAGATAGAGAGAGTTAGGAACTTAGCCAGTTTAAGAGACTACAATCCTCGACAGGTAAATCTAAAATAAAGTCGGGAGGATCCATAAACCAAAAACTTGGGTTGCCAATGCTACGAGCAAAGCGAGCAAGATAATAAAAAACACCGTTTGCTTGGCGGCAAGCATAGGTACACGGAAGTTTAGTGATTGTATAGTAAGCAAAGCTTTCGTATGCTCCTCCAACTGCCTAATAGGAGACACGGTTACCAAATGATTATTTTGAAGAAAGTTGAGGTTTCACCATAAAATCAATTCACAATATGAGAAGTAGCTCAAATTCTTATAAACACGTACAAAATCTATTTTTTCCTTGATAAGGGACCTACTCGCAACACCTTTAATACCTTGACAATTTGAAGTGAATTACTCTAAAAGATTAAGTTATGAAAACCCCTCATTGTGCCAACAAAGGTCATTCTTAAGAGCAAGTCCACACGTTCTCCTATGGCCATCGGAGACAAGTTTAAAATACTTTTACATCTTGATCCTTTACAAGAAAATCATGAATCCGCCACAATGTGATGAGTGAGAGTAGAATACTTCATTTATTTTATTCTTGTACAAAGGACAGCCAGAAAAGAGATTCGATCAACAAACCATGTGCACAAAAAGATAAAGATAATCGAAGTCCCATTAGTCATTGAGTGGAAAAAAGTTCCCTCTCCAACGAGTAAAACAATCTCAACGCAACGCAACAAAACAAAACTAGACCAGCATTAACTATTTATTCAACAAAGTTACATCCCAGCGGAGGACCGCATTTCTTAACAGTTATTCCACGACAAACCAACCGGACAAGCCTGTGATGTCGTGCCAAGTAACGGCTACTTTACCGATTATAGCCAGTGGCACCCCATCCCACCCTTCCCAACGGTCACATTTTCTGAGTTGTCCCCCGAACAAACTTCCGACGCTTCTACTCCCAACGTCGTAATTTCTAATTATTTTCGGAAATATCTCTCCCCTATAAATTCATCTCCTTCCTCATCAATCTCTCCGCAGTCAGAACTGAACGATCATTCACAGCAACATTCAATTTGAAGTTTCATCAAAGATTTCCAAAGATGCATAAATTTGTTGTACTCTCTCTTCTCTTCTGCGTCGTCCCGCATTTCAATGTGGTACATGCAGGCAATGCGCCTGCTCCTTCCCCCAAACCCTCTACGCCCACCACAAAGCCGCCGCCGCCGCCGCCGCAACACTCTCCGGCTTTTTCTCCCACCATTTCTCCTGCAACTCCTCCGGCATCCCCTCCGAGCCCTCCGACTCAGTCGCCTCCTTCGCCTTCTCCCAAAACCTCTCCGCCAACTTCTCCGGCTTCGACCCCACCCACCGTCTCTCCAGCGTCGACCCCACCCACCATTTCTCCGGCGTCGACCCCACCCACCACCTCTCCGGCGTCTCCTCCCACACCTATTTCTCCAGCGAAGAGCCCGTCCAAGAGTGTGTCTTCTCCGGTTCAATCTCCGGCGTCCCCTCCGCCCACCGTTGCCTCTCCGGCCAAAACTCCGGTGAGCGCTCCGCCGAAGGAAAGTCCAGTGGGGGCTGCGCCAGTTGCAGAGGGTCCTGAGATTGCAGCGACCCCCTCGTTACCAGTAGGCATTCCTTCGAGTTCAGCAACACCGGCAGAGTCCCCGGCAATGTTCCCATCAAGCGGTAGCCCACCGATCCCGGCGCCGGCGAGTCTGTCACCGGATAGTGCTGCGCAGGGTCCATCAAGCGAGGATTCGTCGGCTTCGGGTTTGAATGCGGCTCGGGTGGTTTTGAGCGGGTTGTCTATCTGGGTTGCTTTGGCTCTCTAAATCAACACACTTGGTTTCCTGCTCCCCAAGATTAGTTATATTTATTAGAATTAAGAATTTTTTTTTTTTTTCTGCCCTCTACTGATGATTTTTATACTCTGTATGTATCATTCTATTGAATGATTTATAATTTAATCATATTTTGTGTGTTTATTTTGCACACCGCTGTTAAATTTGTTTTTCTTCAAGATTTTGCTTGCTTTGCAATGCACACCCGCTGTTATGTTAAATTCTGGGAGTCCCCTGGACTATGGAGTTGCTAAGACTAGTCGAGGCGCAATGCGGGATTGCCTTGCACTCCTCCTCCTGCAGCTGCTTGTATTTTGAGTATTGAGGAACCAACGGCAGTTGTACAGCTCTAACAAAATTGTGAATGTACAAGTTTAATTATTGTTAAAAGTATAGGAGTTGAATGTGGTAATAGTGGATTGTATGAATGAGTGAACCTAATAGTAGTACATGTGCTCGTCGAGACGATTTGCCTATCGAACTGAACGTTGAAGACTGGGTGTTTGATATACAAGGAAGCTGTGCTTCTTAAAGTACCAAGTTGTCCCAAGAAATCAGTTCGGAATATCCAAGAGTTGTTTCAACTAAAGTCATTGTGCGGGATGTTAGGTCATCTCCAACTGATCCAGCCCGAGGGTTATAGGCTAAAAATAGTCCGAAATGATACGAAAACCATCTCCAACCGAGGTCTAAGCCAAGAGCTTATGGGCCCCACCGGGTCAAAACTAGCCAATCAGGCCAACCAGCCAGCCTGCTGAGCCCAGCCCACTTTTTATTTTTATTTTTTTGGATGAATTTTTTTTTAATTTCTAATTTATTTTATACACCATTTCTTGCATGCTTTTCACTATTCCATATTATTTTACCTCGTTTTATTTCAATTCTTCCCATTCTATTATCTTCCAATGATCTTTCGTTTAATTTTTTCAATAATCTTTCAATATGTTCAAAAATCTTATTTTAATATGGTAGTTTAATTTAATTAACTATATTAATTCAATTAAAATAATAAATTATGACTTTTTGGCCCCCTTTGTCACATCCTGGCCTGGGCCCCCACCACAACCCGGGCCCGCTCCACCACCGTATCACGATATTGTCCGCTTTGGGCGCCGACCACGCCCTCACGGTTTTTGTTTTTGGGAACTCACACGAGAACATCCCAATGGGTCACCCATCTTGGGAGTGCTCTCGAGCGTTACTCGCTTAACTTCGGAGTTCCCATGGAACTCGAAGCCAGTAAGCTCCCAAAAGGCCTCGTGCTAGGTAGGGATGAGAATATACATTTAAGGATCACTCCCCTGGGCGATGTGGGATGTCACAATCCACCCCCCTTAGGGGCCTGACGTCCTCGTCGACACACCACGACCAGGGTTAGGCTTGGATACCAAATTGTCACATCCTGGCCCGGACCCCCACCACAACTCGAGCCCATTCCACCACCGTAGCACGATATTGTCCGCTTTGGGCCCCGACCACGCCCTCACGGTTTTTGTTTTTGGGAACTCACACGAGAACATCCCAATGGGTCACCCATCTTGGGAGTGCTCTCGAGCGCTACTCGCTTAACTTCAGAGTTCCCATGGAACCTGAAGCCAGTAAGCTCCCAAAAGGCCTCGTGCTAGGTAGGGATGAGAATATACATTTAAGGATCACTCTCTTGGGCGATGTGGGATGTCACAATCCACCCCCCTTAGGGGCCCGACGTCCTTGTCGACACACCACGACCAGGGTTAGGCTTGGATACCAAATTGTCACATCCTGGCCCGGGCCCCCACCACAACTCGGGGCCACTACACCACCGTAGCACGATATTGTCCGCTTTGGACCCCGACCACGCCCTCACGGTTTTTGTTTTTGGGAACTCACATGAGAACATCCCAATGGGTCACCCATCTTGGGAGTGCTCTCGAGCGCTACTCGCTTAACTTCGGAGTTCCCATGGAACCCGAAGCCAGTGAGCTCCCAAAAGGCCTCGTGCTAGGTAGGAATGATAATATACATTTAAAGATCACTCCCCTGGGCGATGTGGGATGTCACACCCTTGGTTAGAGATGGGTTTTTTTTTTTAATCACAGAGCTATGTTTGGCATATGGTCATTTGGCCCTTTCGGTTAGAGATGGTATGAAATATGGCCTGACACTGGTCATTAAAATATAATTTCTTTGAGGGCTATAGGGTTAAAGAGAGTCCTCTGATCTTTCTTCGGTTGAAGATGACCTTAGTCTCCAGAATTTCATTAGTAGGAGATCTTTGTGCCCTACCTTTTCTCTTCATTCCTTTGCTTTCACATGAACCTCTCCATAATATGATAATTGGATTTGGTAATTTCGATCTCGTTTTCAATAAACTTTGCTATGTGGTTAGGCAAATTCGGCTGAAATGAGTTCAAAACTTCTTGGGATGTTTGATGCGGTTACATATACCTACTCCACCTTTTTTGTCCTTGGCAGCCAACATCAAGGCACCATAAATGGTTTGGTTTTGTATAGGGGCTTAACTGCAGCAATACATCTCAAAGGCTTCATTTTTTTGTCAAACGATAAATTTGTTAGATTACATGTTAGATTAGGCAGCCGATGAGAAAGTTGTACTCTAGCATGCTAAAACACAAGGGCGTTAGGCTTACCGTTTACCAAATATGTATGATTTTTGGATGCCAACAATACAGACACATCAAGAATATTGCGCATGTCTTTGCGTCCAAAGAGGGAGAGAGTTGTTAGGATTTTTGTTGCTATCAACAAGTAAGGATACAAGAAAAGTTATCAAATTCCAAGTCTTAAAGTTGTTTTGCTCTTTTAAGAAACCAAACAAGTTGATATTAAGCTTAAGTTGTAAGAAGGCAACGCTTTCTTTATTATGTTTTATTTCTTCCCTTCCGCTGATTATTATTTTGATGCGGACAGGAAATAACGTCACAATAGAAAGAATAAAACTTGGGTGCTCAACATTTCAGCAGGGGTCTTGCTTACACCCAATTCCAAATAGACTCAAGTCCCAGTTTTGATTAAATAATCAAAATTGAGACACGTGTCTACCCGGAATTGAATGTAAGCAGGACCTTCGGTTGAAATGTTCAGCAGCGTCTCAATAGAAATAGCGAGTTAATATCTAAAAATTCAAATGTCCAGTTTATGAATTAAATTGAAACTCCTACCTTATTCTAAAGAGACAAGAATGCAATTTCAAACACATTTTCAAACTTCTAAATCTTAAACCAAACTGAAGAGTGTAATATCTCAAATTAAAAAAAAAAAAAAATACAGAGATAAATTTTGTTAAATTTTAACTACTCACTCTCAATGCTCGTCACACATTGAAAAATAAAAATAAAAAATAAAAAATATGAAAAGCTAAATACGGTATCTTACATTTGGGCCACAAAGAAAAAGGACCGGACCCTCTACGGATCCTTCCCACGCGCACCCTCGGATCAAGTAATCTCAGCCGTTCGGTCTTACATTTCAGTTGCAAATAAATTAGAAACATTAGAATTTGCTATCTCTCTGAGATTCTCTGTGATCGATGGCAATGGCGGACAATGGGCGTGTGGTCTGCAAATGCACGGCAGCGAGGAGGAGCTTCTTCTGCTTCAGAGAAGTCAGCTTCGATGACAAGCCCAACCGCCGAAACCACCTCCGTAACGTTTCGGCCGTTCCCGTCTTTAAAAACGGCATCTTCACTCGCTGCAGCCCATCCGTCGCCGGAAACAGCATTCTCAGGTTTTTTTCTCACACAATTATGGGTTTTTCCGTTTTCTTTTTCAGTTGCACGGTCTGTTTGGTTCCCGAGAAAACGCAGGAAAATCAATAAGAAAATTAAAACGTTTGAGCTTGTGTAGTGTAGGGTTTACTGAATACTTGACCAGGTTCGGTTTGGTTTCTGATAAATTCAGAACGACGAAATTTAGAACCGAAAGCTTAATTTATCGATTCGAGCTGGTTTGTTGCTTTTGAATGTTCAAATTGGATTGTATAAATGTGTGTGTCATGTTACAGCTGTGTATAATTAGATGATTTATTGCTTGTAGTATGGATGCACGCGAGAATCCGAGGTCCTCAATATTGCCATCATCCCGAGATAAGAGAATTCCCATATATGTGATGATGCCTGTTGATGCTTTCTGCATTGATGGTTCGGGGCGTCCGAGGATTAGGAAGTAAGTTTTATTATGACTTTCTGTTGATGAGGTTATGGTGCATTCTCATTCTTGAATTAATTGTTATACTCATTTAAACGACGGAGTATGATTAGCTAGAAGGTTGCAGCTAACTATTTTGATCTCTTCCCAATTGAAGTTATGTAGGGATTATATGTGTGTTTCAAATTGTTTCTAAATTTGTTTTATTGGTGAGACAGAAACTCTTTATATGTTGCTCGATTTATTGTTGTTTCAGAATCAAGGCCTTAACTGTAGCTCTTAAAGCACTCAAGTTGGCTGGTGTCCACGGAATTGCAGTTGAGGTTTGGTGGGGAATCGTAGAGCGTTTCTCTCCTCTTGCATATGATTGGTCTCTATACGAAGAGCTTTTCAAACTGATTTCTGAGTCAGGTTTGAAGTTGCATGTTGCCTTGTCTTTTCATTCAAATGTTAACTCTTCTTCTAGCAGAAAAGGAGGTGTAAGTCTTCCGCTGTGGATCGTAGAGGTTTGTTTTCTATGCTATTTTGAAATCCCATTTGACTGTTTGGCCTAGTAGTTTTCTTAGATTGTTGAAGTTATTAGTCTGGTAAAATGCACATGGCTGTATTGGAACGTTTAAATTACCCGGTCATACTTTTTGTTGTGACAACATAAGAAACACAACCGATTTGGATGACTAGAGACAATATCAACGTGTCTTCAGTTTCCTGCTCTGCAACGTGCTATGGTACTGTGTTCCCCATTAGCATACTTGATTTTATCTTTGATGCGCATAAAAGGTTTATCAATGCAAAGGGATGTGAAATAAAAACTATAGTTTGGTCTAATTACACACCTATCAGTTT